ATGGACTTATGCCAATAATTTTACTTTTGATTCCACAAGAACTGGGATAGAAAGAGAAAATAAAAGATTGTAATAAAGAGAGAACATTGTGGAAGGTTGAATCAAATTGCAAACAATTAAGAAATAATACTTCTTTATATATTCATTTTTTAGGGCCATTAGACAACTGGATTTTAATTTCATGTTATTACAAATATGCAAAGCTAATACTATGCTATTGATTTATATAATCTCCCATTTAAAATGTGAAGCACTTTACACAGAAAAAAAAAAAAGGTATACAGTGTTCTAAATAACCTAAGAGTTAATTTTTAGAGTACATTGAATATCATATATTAAGTTGTTATATTGTATAACTATAAATGTAGTGAAAGAAAAGTGGCATTTTGATTCTCCAAGAAATTTAAAACACATGGGTATTTAAAGATTCAATAAAAATGGGCTCATCACATAAAATTCTATACTTTTAGAAATCCAATGGATAATAGTCTTAGTGATATGCAATAATGTCTTCTATCCCCAGAGTTCATAATATAATAGCATGTGAATTCTTGAGGCTGTAAGGCTAAAATGGGATTATGTCAAGGCCTTGGAAAGAATACGTGAATCAAGTTATGATAGTGATTAAAGCAAAAGCTCATTTCTCTCTTAGGAGTGCTTTTCAGCATATTTCTCCAGATGAGGCCCATAGCTTAAAACCTCTTTTCTAATTAAGATTTTAATGTGCTTAGATTATATTAAATCAGATAAAAACTACTCTTCCTTTTTTTTTCCAGTACACTCTTTCTATAAACAGGTTTCCACAACAGTGTTTGTTTATTAAAGGTAAGTAACACAGACATAATTAAGTTTCATTGATCATAACATGCAAGATCAACCCTAAATCTTTCCAGTAACATTAGGGGAGAAATACCAGATTAGAGGCTGACATTACATAGGAATGAGCTAATCTCTGAGGTTCTTATTTGTTCCTTTTGTTTTTAGAGCACTGGTGACTGCTTTGGGTGCTTATTCATTATGGAATTCTGGTGAACATCCATTGAGATAAGCATTTTCTTTGACAAGCTGGAATCTTCTCAGTAACATTAGTCAATTTATATCGATATTATCGAGTTATGTCTAGTTTCTATTAATTTTCACCCAGTCTTTAATGATGTTATTTTTCTTTTCTACCCTTCTTGGATGCACATTTCATCTTTAAAGAATGCAGCAAAAGCTTGTTTGGGGCTTGACCATGATATAAATACATAACAGGATTTTTAATAGCAAAACAGTGAGACACACATGGCCCTACTCACATACAGGTCAGGTTCTGACTCCTGTCATCCAGAAGTGGAGCAGAAGTGGCAATCCTTGACCCAGTACATGGCTTTCTCAGATCTACGAAATTTGTAAGTTGCAGATGCCAAATAAAGTAGCCTCTCATAGTATCGTTTAAAAAATATTTTATAGGGCCTCCCCTGGTGGCGCAGCAGTTGAGCACTGGGCTGCGAAGCTGCACGCAGCCTCTGCAGCACCGGATTGATCCCTGGCCACAGGTGAGGGTCCCACATGGTGCGACAGACCTCTCCTGCCACGCCCGCTGCTCCCCTCAGCAGTGTATTTCGTCAGTCTGCCTGTTCTGCTCCCCACTCTGGCTCTGGTGAATTCTCTCACCCTACTGTGCTTCTGACTGTACCCAGTGCTTGTATAAATAAACAAATCTTTTAAAAAATATTTTATAATTTCTTGCTATAAACAAACGTCATTCAGCAGAAATTAAGCTGCCACAGAAGCACTTTCATAGCAAAGGTATCACATTTCATTTAGGAATGAATTAGAATTTTGTAACTAAAAATAGTTTAGGATATCTTAATATTAATAATACATAAGTATAAAAATATTAAAAATTAATACGAAAAGACTTCATTTAAGTGTGACTGGAGCTTGTGACAAGTTCATTTGGCCACCTGTGATCTAAAAGTAGATTAATAACAATAACTGAAGATGCAAAAACTCAACCTGAAACAAAATATACAAAGCAATAAGAACTTAGTAGATCTATTTTAACAGACTGGGGAAAGCTGTCCATGGTGTATTTCACTTCTCCTGAATAGCAAATAAATGATTAATTTCTGAATTAGCAAGCTCCTGAAACCCCGGGTCTAGTCCTTCTTGTTCTGCCAACAGAGGGGAAGGAATCCAGAAAGTCATGGCAACTATGTCATGTTTGAAAACAGACACTGACCAGTCAAAGAGGGAATGTCTGGGGGGTGGGGGGTTTTGACCTTGGAGATAAACTGAATTACCTTCTCCACCTACGTTCCCAGCCTGAATCCCACCTCTTCACTTGCTTATCTTGCAGTCTGAGTCCAGGAAAGACAGAGTCTCTCAGGGCCATAAGGTGGTCCCAAGTCAATGTAAATGAGTGGGAAGAGCAAAGATTCTCTCATAGATGGCAACCATCTTGCATAAGAAAGCAGCCAAACAGTTTTATACAACTAATTGAAATTGATTTAGCAAATGCAGAAACGCAGTTTGGAAGTCTGAACTGTCTCTGTTCTTTTGATTTAGTCTGCCTAACCTCTTTCACCATTTAATTCTAATTAGATAGAGCCAGAAAATTGAGCTGGCAGGAATAGTCATTGACATTTAATTAATGTCTGGTATTCCATTTGTCAAAAAAGAAAGCTCAAGTAATGGAAGCTTGGCAGAGACATCTGAAGCGCAGGCAGTGATCAAAGTTACACGGGGGTCCTATAGTTTCAAAGGGCATGAATACCCACATAGACCTTGCTCTTTTCCATGGGCCATTCTTGCCCCCATGAAAAGCCTTAATCTCTAGGACTAATAATCTATCTGTGTCTCTATTTCCTAGAACAGAGCTAAGAATACAGCAGATGCTCAAAAATATGTGTTAAATATCACATTTTCACAAAGAGGGCAATCTGGGAGTAGGGCGCATCACTCGCCATGTACCTAGCCAAATCTTAAAATGTCCATTGAGTGAATGACATTTTCAGAAAAGAGAGGATGCCACTATGATATATCAGTGAAACTCAAATTTGTGCAGGTGACCATGGACAGAAATGGTTCTGATTTCCTCATGTATAAGATAGGGAGGAAGAGAAACAAGAGTCAAAGATGACTACATTTGGGTCTGAACAAGTGAGTGAATGGAAATGCCATTTCTGAAACAGGGGGGCCCTGAAGAGGAGGAGTTTTGAAAGGAAAGCTAAGAGTTCAACGTTTTGAAAATAAATACTGGTCAATGATGGTGATGATGATGATGACGATGACAGTAATGATGATGATAGTGGGAAGCAGAATGAAGAGCTTATCTCAATTTTCAGAAATTAAAAATTGGCCTTTACAGAACCAATCAAGAAATCCCATCTGGAGTTCTCTACAGGGGCCAGGTCTTCAGATACATACACAATGAAAAAGAAATGGACCAATTATTTTGAGTCCCATGAAGAAGGAAGTGTAAATAACAATAGAATTGCCCTCATTCACCCAGACACCCTCAGAGACTAGGTGATAAATCTCAAGGCACACTGACACTCTGTGCTAAGCAGTGGTCATTACTAATGAGAAGAGGCAGACTAGTCTAGAACGCTTGTTGGGGATCAGAGACCATTGTTATGTAGGACTCATAAGTCTGAGGGTCAAGTGCTCACAGTTCTCTATTGTGCCACCTCCAAGGAGGGTGCATATATATATAAATATGTATATATTATTAATATTATATATATATATACACACATACACACTGGGCAGAGGGATCCACTAATAATGATGTAACCATTTTTTAATATTCTGATCTTTTTAAAAGCTACAATTACTGCTTATTAAAGTTAAAACACAGTTAAAAGAGTCAAACAATTCTAAAGGGCTCATAATGATCAGACAGCAGGTATCTAGAATCTTCCCTCTACACCATTTCCTACTTCCCAGAGGCTCTTAAGTATTTTAGCTGGTTCCTTCATTATTTATTTCCATATTTCTAAATAAACATGTTCATATTGCAATGTCATTTTTCACTTCTAGGCATAATTTATTGCCTTTCCACTCACAAGTTGAGGATTTAGCTTCTGTTAGCTGTCCCCCTCATAGGTTTAAATGCTCATACAGTGAGGAACACATGCACACAGGTACATACATATACATAAACATGCACAAGCATATTCACAAACACAAATATAAACATGCACACATATACACAAACACACACACACTTTACCCTCCATTTTCCCAGTAGAGTTAGTCATGTTACACTCTGGTTAGCCCAATATTCAGTGTTCACATGACTGTGATTATGTAAGTGTCATTTACAGTTACAGATATAGCTGCTTCTGGTTACTTTTCCTTTTCTGTATTTTCCATACACAGTTTGTGTTTCCAAACCTTAGTAACTATCTTGATTTCTATCTTTCTTATTTTCTGTCCCCTTTCCTGTGCAGAAACAATAGAAGTGACTAAGCAGAATCTAAATCTGTAGACTTTTTTCTGTGCTTACTCTCTCTTCTTTTCTCTGCCTCCTGTCCTCAATATCAGGGAGTGTTTCCTGCAAGAAGAGATATTATCCCCAGAGCAACATTTCAAACACTAACACATAAGCATCCCATGAGAAAAGAGCTTTCTGGTTTAGAAAGCTGAGAGAGGCCTAGCATAACACCTAGCAACCACGGGGGCTGGGTTTTGTTGGACTAGTGTTTTGAACTATTGAGCAGAGGAGCTCAGAAGCTCCCTTGCTGTCCTCTGCTCCTAGTTCTTTTAAGACAAAACATCCCTTTTGGTCCTCCCAAAACCTTGCACAAACTCTTTCTCTGGCATTTGAACTTGACTCTGGGCTACCAGAAACAGAACTATCAGAGCCTTTCCATGTCCCTAGGTGTCACGGAAACAGGCCAACAAGGTGAATGTTAAGAACACGCTGACTGGAGAGCACAAGAAAGTAACCTCAATTCCAAAGCTATATTTTTCTCAGCAGGTGAAGTATAGAAAATAATGTGATTAACCTCTGCCCTGGTCGTGGACAGAAGCAACGGCGGCTGGACTGCTCTGTGCCTGGCAGGGTCTTCCTGCACTTTCCAGGCTCCCTGGTCGGAGGTATTGTCCCCAGCCTGCAGACCAGACAGAACAGGTAAAAAAAAAAAGTCAGCACAAGGAAAGGAGGGTCTCTGAAATGCTGCAAAACAAGCGAATTAGAATGATGCCAGCAGAGACCAGGTAATCCCAATGCCAGAATAATCTGGCAGGTTCCTTGGAGATTCATGGGTGAGGGGAAAAAGGCACAGGTGCAAAAATGCTCATTAGTTGACACTTACGGGTAACACTGTCCTCTAACTCATGACCAATCTATGATTCTGGAAGGAACCAAAGAAGAGCAGGCTGAATGATGAGACTCAGGAGGTCTTGGGGAGGCGAGGCTCAAGGTTGTCAGGCAAGAGCATCCCTGCTCCTGGGTTCTCCCACTGTAAATTGTTGTTCTCACATGCCCCTCCCTCCTCATTCCCTCTCCTATCATAACCTCGAGTGGGCTTGCCTGGACTCTTAAACATCACCGGTTCTTTGGTGAAAGAGATGTTATGGGGATGAGAGATCAGACAAGGACCCAAGAAGACATGAGAAAACTGCAGGCATAATACCCACCAACTCCCATTCTCACCTATAATTCGACCATTAGCACTGCCAGGCGGGACATGGAGGGCTGAAAGTTTTGTTTTTTCTCTCCCACTGATTCCTATTTGCAAGAGGCTGCTGGTCCTTCCCAAGCCAAGGTCAGCTTGCCACCTGAAGAGGAGGTGAGGAGGCAGATGGAGAGGTGGGCGCTGCACTATTGGAGGTCTGCAAAGGAACAGAGTGCCACCCAGGAAGTGTGACTGTCCGGGAAGATTACAGGTCTCTAACTTGCCAATGCATACACACTCACATACACCAATATAAACATGGCAGTAAGCCAACACCTGCAGAGTCATCGACCTGAGCATGTTGGAAGAAGAGGCTTGGAGAGGTGAGATGAGTTGTCTATTGGGTTCTTTTAGGACCCAGACCTTTGCCCTTTCTTCTGACCCAGACATCCCTGAGGGTAAATCCACAGGACTGCTGACTGGCACTCTGGGAAATGCAGGAAAGGCAGGTACTGGGTCTCAGGCAGACTCCATGTGAATCCTGGCTCAATCATAATAGGCCGAGTGGTGCCGGACACACTGCGGGAGGTCCCTGAGCTCCAGTTCCCCATGTGTACACTGAGGAGAGCACAGATGAGCCTACTCCCTGCATGCCTGGAGGATTCTGTGAGATTCCACAAGAGCAGCACTGGCCCTGAGCCTCTAGCACAGCAGCTGCTCCCTAAAGTGGCAAATTAGTCATTCTGGCCTTAATTTTCACATTTGTGCAAATTTGGATGACTCTGCCCATCCCGGCTGAGCCTTAACCCCTGGGTGGTCCCAGGGGAGGGGGTCAGGGGATGCCAGTCTGGAGTAAAGGGCACCATCCCCAGGGGAGCGGAATGAGCTCCTCCCACAGCTTCCAGGCTGATCTGCTGGCTCTGACCGTCCTCAGATATTTGGATGGATTCTGAAACATGGGTCCTGGCAATGGGGTTAGCTGTATTCTTCAGTGTTTTAACTTGAAATTACTCCCTGAAAAAGTAAGCTTACTGCAACCCCCAAGTCTCCATCTCTGTACCCTAGGGTCTGCCTCCAAGCTGTCACAAGAATTCTGGGAAGGAAGGCTGATATGCTGTAAGAACCCGGTGGAGGGCTGGCGGCCTGGCTGCTTGCTGTTTGAATAACTGGTCAGAGGCAGCCGGCTCCCGAAAGGTGGGGAAAAGGGGCTGCACATGGTGTTGGGTGATTCTGATACATCCATCCGTTCACTGGACAAGCACGCAGGGAGCACCATGACCTATCAGTCTGGCCTGGATGCTGGGCCACTAGTAGTGAAATGATGTTCAAGAAACCTGAGGTTTGTTACCTTTATCTCTACATGTGTCAACAGGTCTTTCCTGAGAACTAAGATGTCCTGAGTTGTATTTTGTAACGTCTCCATCAGCCCCATAGTCCTGATTGAATTGAATGGTCTCTACCCTTGCTGCTATTTCATGTTTGCAATTTATAACAGGAATAATGTTGTCATTCACAGGTGCATTAACACTTAACAGACACCTCCTCTGCTCTGGGGGGCCAGTGGATGCCATTACCAATGACCCTGCCTTGAGGGAGAGCACAAGAGTCAGCTCAAGCTCTGCAGCATCCCCATCTCAGCATCTGTGGGTGTTTATCTGGATGTTTTTGGGTCTCTCCTACCCACAGCCTAGCCCCAATTTCTGAGGTTGTGCTCCCCTCTAGGCCTGCATTAGCTCTCAGGGATCAGTCCAGAGCCGAGGCTGCAAGTCCCACATCTCAACCAGCTGACAGGCACTGCAGGAGATACTTCCTCACTTAGTCCCACACCCTCCTCTGCAGAGTCACAGATTACCTCCATTAAATGAGATAGAGCAGGAGCCCTGGCCCGGCTGTGCTCAGGGTGGGTGCTCCCCTTTCTTCCTTCAAGTCCAGCACTCAGGTCCTCCCAGGCAAGCAGCACACCCTCCTCAACTCATTTCTCTGAAGCCAACAATCAAGACCTCAGCATGGGGCCAGAGGTCTGCGAGCATACCAAAACCCCTCATGTCTGGTCTCCCAGAATAAATTACAGTGCAAGGCACTAGACTTTTTAGCAGGGAACCAGCAATTGATTTTATATATAATTTGGAAGCAGAAGAATATTATTGTACTTTGTTTTCCTATGGCTATTATCCCCATGAGAGCTCATTTCTACTTCTTAACAGGGATTTACTTGGACTGATGAATTGGTTAAAAACCTTCCTGCCCAATTTCAATTTACTCAGTGCAACATTTGCTGTAAAACATTTAGCAAGAATGCAAATTCGACCAGTGCAGCTCCTGGAAAGATGTTGCTATTCTTCCACAGACACCCCTTCTCCCCTGCACAGGACTTCAGGAAGATTACCCCATGACCTCTGGGGAAGCAGAGCACAAATTGGGCCTGGAGTACCACCTCCCCTCCAACATCTCATACCATCCCCAAACGAGACAACTAATAACAATTTGGGACCATATCTAGAAGTGGGGAGGGGTGCAGAGGGACAGCCTCATTACTGACCTGTTCTCACCCAAGAGTGTCATCCTGAAGCTCCAAAACTGCAGCTTTCCATTGCAAAGTTGCCCCATAATGTTTATATCAAATTTCTTTCTCTTAGGCCTACAAGCACCTTGGGCCTGGGCAGATCTGCAAAATTGGCCACTTGGGACAGAAATAACAAAGACTGGGTTATCATGGATAATTCAGCAGCTTCCATCTCAATCCCCAGCACCTGACTTCATAAATTCCAACCTGAATTCTTCCTCCCACCATAACCTGAGGTCCCATGCTTTCCCAGAAACCTGCCAGAGTGGGCAACATCAGCTGCTGGAAAATGCTAACCTGCCCCAGTCAGGCAGGGTCAGCACCTGGAGTCCTTGGTCTCCCTCTGTCCCACACCAATTTCAGCTGCTGCAGGCCAGCTGAGCCCTTTGTTCCTGAGGGCAGGCTTTAGCCCTCATTGTCTCAACATATGCCACTGGGTCAATCAGCCCCCCTCTTGAAGCCATCCTCTGAGACGAGTCATCCACCCCCATCTGAGTGTCTAATGGTGGTATCAGCTTCTCTGGAGGCTGTGGCTGGGATGCCATGTGGGTGGCCAGTCTCCTGCTTGCTTCCCTGCCAGACATGCCTCCCAAAGCCAGTCACAGAAGAGAAAGTATCTCCTCAGCAATAAAGAAAACCTGGCCCAAGCGTGGGCATAGCTTCAGCAGACCTCACCCTGTCACGGACCTCTCAGGGCTGCAGCCCCTGAGCACTCAGTTCATAATGGGTGGATTCCTTCCCCACCAGCCTGACCAGGACCCTAGTCCCCAACACCCTACTCATGTGTAAAAATCCACAGGAATCCCTGCTATTCTTCAAGGCAGACTACAGAAGCAATTAATTTCTAACAATAAAGATAGGTGTGCAGACAAAATTCCTAGCAAAAAATACCAGAGGACTATTTTTGTTATTCATTCATTCATTCATTTGCTCATTCATTCATCCATCTAGTTAGTCATCCAATAAACACTACTGAGAACTAACTATAAGGCAAAGAAGGAGAAAGCAAGGCTTCTGTAATCCTCACAACCCTCATCCTGAACTCTGGGGTGCACCTCTGACTTTGTCCCCCATCCTCCTTATCATGCAGCCCTTTCACTGCAGGAACAGTTAGCATCTGTTGACTGAGTACTGGCCAGAGCCTGTGCTTTCTGCTAACGCTTTCATCGATGATCTCATGGAATCCTCATAAGCCTTTGAGTAACTGGAATTACCTTCATTTTGCTGGGGAAGAGGCAAGACTCTGAGAAAGAACTAGGTGGTACCATCAGCAAGTGACAGGGCTTAATATGCAGCCCACCTTCAGGGCCCACAACCCATGTCCTCTCCTCTCCCCTAAACTTAGATCTTACAGAGAATTCAAATCCTCAGAGAGATGCTCATAATAACATCATCGTACGCTTCTTCACACAGACCCTGCCTACAGTTCGCAGGAAGGACAGAGGCCTATTGGAAGAAAAGAGGACCTCCCAAACTGTGAACTCTACAACCCCAGGGTCCTATCAAACCCTCTCCTCCCCAGGAAGTCTCTGCAGATGCAGATTCTCCCTGACCCTCCCCAGCACCTGCAATCAGAGATTCAGATACTAACAGAGGCTGCATTTGGCAGGTGATGACCCTGGAGTCCAGTGGGCCTTGATGTCTGATGTCACACACAGGATGAGGCAGAGCAGGCTCCTAGACCTGTGGTTCCTGTCCCCCTGACCCTACTGCCTGCTGACCAAGAAAGCTCAAGTCCTTCCCAGCCCTGCCACTGTGGTGAGCCCGGCTCATGAGGATGCACTCCCCTTATCCTGTTCAACAGCTCCTCCCGTCCAGATAACCCCTACTTCCTGCCTGCCTACCTCAGGCCACTATCTCCAAGAAGTCTGCATAGCTCTCCATCCTACACCTCTTCCCAGGAGACACTGATCTCCCCATGGGCAGTGTCCGTGTGGCATCCGTCTGTGCCTCTCACCCCCCAGCCCAGGGCCTGGCACAGGAGAGTTCTCAATAAGTGTCTCAATAAGTTCTCAATAAGTGAATACGTTTTGTTGAATATTCCAAAAATGATACAACAGCCTCAGGTTCAAATAGATATTTCATTACCTGATGAGAAATTAAAAGATGCCAAGTCATCTTTAAAATAATTGACTGCTCTTTTATGAGGCCTCTCATCTCATTTCTCTCCAGTTCTGTGGAGCACTGGAGCCTTTCAATACCCCACATAATCAGAGGTACTATTTATTCTATAAGCATTTTAGTTAACTGCACTAAGATCCCAAATCTTCAGCGGTCATTTCTTTTTCTTTCTGCCATCCGGAAGGACTACTAATAGCTATGCAGTCTTGAAAAGAGCAAATGAATGCCAAGAAGAAAGCCTGAGAGTTCAAAACCATAATCTTCTCTTGTGATTAATATCCTCAAGGCAACAATTCACCACTCAAGGCAGAGCGGCCTCTCCAAGTTTTTGCAAAGACCATCAGTCCCACATAACACAGGGTGACACATTGGCAGGGGTAAAGGGCAGGTGTACGATGGGTCTTGCCATCATTCCTCTGTCATTCCAGAAGTCGAATCCCATTATCACATTTAAAAGTTATTTGTAAACACGTAGCCCCACCCAGACCCTGAACCATCACAACTGGGTGAAGCCAGAGGTAGCAATTCCCCCGGAAACAACAGCGCCACCCCCTGCCTAATGCCTTCTGTGGCTCATAGAGGCAGTCTCAGGCAGAATTCCCACTCATACCTCCAGGGGTGGAGGGCCCACCAGCCATTGGCTGCTGTATTCAGGATGAGCCACATAAAGCAGTTTACTGGCCACCTTGCAGCAAGTGCAGTCACCAAAACAGTCACCAGAGGTTGACATCACACATCTGTCAAAGGCCCATGCTTTCTTTATCTGTCACATTTTAGAATTCAACTTCAAACACCTAGTCTGTCAGGAACACTGTCTCAGGAGCTCTGGAGGCAATAGTGTGGAATCAGGTATAGTGGCCCTCACTTGTTGGCAGTAGATGGAGAGCATACTCTACCAGATGGCTGTATTCATGCCATCTCCTGCCATGCCAGGAACTCTGGGCGAGATATGTTTTCTCTGAGGGTGAGTTCTAACCTACCCACTCAGACAGGTTCAATCAATGGCTCCAATTTTATTGCTCATCAGAATCATCTGACGAGTTTTTGAAAATCTCAATGCACAGGCCAAGCCCCAGTCCAAATCACAGCAAATCTCTCAGAGTGGGATGTGGGTAGAATCTTTTCTTAAAGCCCCAATCAATTCTAGCAAAGGCCTTAGATGGCTGAAGTTCCCCTGGTTGTTGGAAGGGGACTATGGTGCCTTGAATGCAGATGGGCCTGGCTCCAGAAGTGGTGACCATCCTTTATCTCACTCTCTCTGTAGATTTATGCATTCAAGTGTTCACAGACTCTGATAAGGGAACAAGGCCAACTACAATATCACAGAGGAGTCAATCAACGTCATGATGTAGGTTCAAAGGGCTACTGAGTTCAAGGAAAGAGAGAGCCCCGAATTTGGGGTAAGCAGATGATGGTTTCTTTCAGAAAGTCTCATTTCAATGGGGTCCAGAGCCATAGATGCCCAGAGCATGGTGGGGGCACAGGAGGCACCAAGCAGGGAGGCAGGAGAGCTGGCAGGATCCAAGGGAAAGCAACCACTCATTTAGGCTGGAGCTTAGAAGACTAGTAGAGAGTAGGCAAAGGTAGGTTAGAAAGACAGGTGGGTGTGGGAAGAAGGGATGATTTAGGGATGTGCCCCTGAAGATTTTCCACCTGGCGATGGCATGACTGTGGATATGCTCTTGGAAGAGTCATCTGACCATGGCACAGTAGAGATCCTTGAGATGTGCTATACAGCAAGAAAATGACCGAGTGGTGGGATAGATTAGGATGAAAGCTCAACTAGGTGGGGGATGCAACTTGCCCACAATTAATAACTGATCCAGGATAGGGTAGGGAGGCTGGAAGGAGTAAGAAGCTCCAGATGACAAAAGGGACAAGACTTGGCTGTGACTAACAATGTGAAGTCCTTACTTCTATCACCAGCCCAGTCACTATGTAGGTAACCTTGGGCAAGTCACTTCACTCTCCATAGTTTAGTATCCAGCATTGAAGGATGGAGACAATGAAAACCTCCCTGCCCATCTTAGCAAAGTCCTAGTCTCAATGAGAGAATGCGTGTAAATGTCTTCCGAAGTGTGAAAAAGCATGACATACAAAAGCCTTACATAATTTCCAGATTTTATTAATACTCTGCATGTTTTCTTTACATTTTCGAGGTCTTAAACTTGAAGCCTATGCTGCCATATGAGAAAAGCTATTAATAATGATGTCTTTTATAGCTCAAAGTTATGAACAAATAAAAAGAGTTTATGTCTTTTACTGCTGCTAGAGAACAGACTTACCAACATTAATTTGAATTAAAATGTCAATATTTTTTCATTCGAGTTTCTTAAAACATACTCAGTTTCCTTTTTACATTTTCCCCTTATTTTATACAGCAATATATTCTGTGCATTGAGTTTCTGGAATACTTCAAGAGCCAAGCTAAACAGAACACAAACTCATAAAAAAGTTAGCTTCTGTGTAAAAAGTTTCCTCTTTAAAAAAAAAAAAAGAAAAGAAGTTAGTTATTGGAGCTAGTGGATGATGGCAGTCATGAGTATTATAATGTTTATACCAAGAGTCCTCAATCAATTCTTTTTCTTGAAACTTGGGTAACACAGGGAAAACAATACAAAAAGATCTAATCCTCAACTGTTCCCAGAATTCCACCAACTGGTATTCCACAGATCTGAGGGGCCCACTCCTTGCAACTGCAGAATTTGAGCTAATTCTGTTCTCCAGTTTACTCTGTGGCTTCTACTTAATTCTTTAGTCCCTATAGCCAACAATGTGAGTGCTAAATTCTTAAAGTGACACACGATCAAGGGGGTGTATAAGCCTTCCACATGGAGACTCCCATTTGGGCTTCCCAACTATTCTAGACAGAGTGGGGAGCAGAACAGGTAGAGCTACTGAAATACACTGCTGAGGGGAGCAGTGGGAGAGACAGGAGAGGTCTGCTGGGCCATGTGGGTTAGCTCTCTGGCTGGGGATCGAACTCAGGCCACAGTGGCTGGTAAGAGCTTGATAGCACAGAGACTTTAACCCCTGCACCACCAGGGAGGCCCATTATTAAAGATTTTTATTATGTCATATATTTCATTGTGTCTGTAGTATGCAGACAGATATAGTATAGATGAATGTATAGATATAAAGATACATACATACCTACATATGTACATACATAGAGATACAGATATATACATAGATAGGTAAATATGTTTATGGGTATATGTGTGTATATATATATGTGTGTACTATACATATCCACCTCCTTTTTTATCTTCACAACAAACTAGAATTTGTAGAAGAGGAGGCTGTATAATTTGGAAAGGATCACATAATACGATTCCATGTTATAAATTAATTCAGCAAACCCAACATCCTGCATTCATGCTCTCAATTTCAGAAAAGCTGAATGAGAGACCCTGGGGCCTAACAGGTGTGAATCATCTCACATGGCTCTCATCCCCCCACCAGAACCAGCAGGGCCACTTGGCAAGAGTAGTTTGTCCTCATGTGTAAGTGTTAGCAGAGATGTGTGAAAACATGGAGCCATTTCATCATTTGTAAATAACTATTTGCTGTGACTATAAATCATTCAAAAACCATTTGGAATATTTTATTCCTGGGAGACCAGGAGTTCCCATTTTTCAGACAAAGAGTAAATCGTCATCCACTTTTAATAACAAAACAGCCTTTCCAAAAACGGGAATAAAGATAGAGAGGCACATCATACCCACATCATGCAAAAAAGTGCAGTTAAGCTCCCAGGAAAAGGGTGGAACTTTTCCTACACTGCCTCAAGTTCCACATGCTAAATTCCCTTGGCTAGCTCCCCAGGACAAATAGGACTGTCCTCTGCTGGTCCTTCCGCTGAAGCGTGGGTGTTACTGGGTGCAGCTGGACGATGACAGTGACCACCACTGATGACTTCTTAGCTAATGTCCATGTTGGCTCAGGCAGCACTATTGCCCAAGGACCAGTCAGTGCCAGTCCCTCACCTGCAGATCCACCTCCTGCAGCCAGACTTGGCAAATGACAGAACCTTTCATTTATTCTTTCAAACAGTCTTTGAACAGAATTATAAAAAAGCATTTTCTTTACCAAATCACACCATGTTAACTTTCTGGAGCCCAAGGGGGGTGGGCACTCAATCTCAAAAGTCCATTAAATGAAATCACTGAGGAAAACTTGCAAAGTAGAAAATATCAACAGTGTGGTGTTGTTCACACATCCCCAGGAGGTCAGATGGAGACATAACCAACTGAATTAATCAGATCCCAGGTGGCACAACTTTAAAAGTGAGGTTACCTTGCAGGTTGCTACAACACCAGTCATGAAAGAAGGCAGAAGAATGGAGGAGGCTTCACCCTCACAAGATCTCTCCAAAGTAGCCTTTATTCCACTGCTCCCCAAATTCAACCCATTCACCCATCACTGCTGTGGTTTCCAAGTCAGTGTCTGACTCTGTCACAATCAGGGCATGTTTCAGGAGTTTTGGTATGGGAACCAGCCAGGCCCTACCCCAGAGATTTATCTGCCGGACCCATCATAAGCGGCAGTCTTCTTCCACCCCAACATTCTTCCCCACATCTACTCCCTACACAGCCTCCTTTTCTGATTTACCCTCTGCATTCCCCGTGGGGACAACTTTAGGAGCCAGACTGCCTGGTAGGGGCTGCCCTCTATCTTACTTTTACTTGTGACCCTCCTCAATCCTCTGACCTGATGTGGTACCTGCCACTTCATGCAAACAGACCCCAAAATGACTCAGCCACAGACGCTGGGCACCCTCCTTTCACTCATTCAGTCCAACAAGCACATATGTATCGATAAAGAATGTAAGTAACCATTGACTTCAACTGTCTCATGCTCTCCTGGAAGAGAGAAGTTAATAAAGAAATAAGCCATGAGAGTGCAACACCGTTCATGCTCCAAGGGACGGCATCTCAACCAGCAACAACCTGGAGGGCTTTCAGGAGGGGGTGGAGCCTGAGGCTGAAAAGATGAATCTGAATTAGCAAGCAGTTTGGGTAGGAGGCAGCAGGAACAAATCACCATCAGGTAGTGGAAGCAGCAGCAGCAAGAACAGGAGAAAATACATTTCCACACATCGAGGTGCATGCATGGAAAGTACAAACAACCACAGGGCCGAGTGTGAAGCAGGGGCTGGAATATAAAGGACCGGTGAAGGAGCCTGGACTCTATCCTTCACATGATTGAGTGTCTGAGGGATTTTAACAAGAGAGTGGCTCAGTGAGGTCTGGATTTGAGGACAATGCCGGTGTTTGCAGACAGGGTGATGCACTGCAGATTTCAGGGAGAGAGCAGATGCCATGGGCTGAGTAGGAAGCTGCTACAGTCACCCCAGGCCAGGGCTGAGACTGGAATCAGTGTCATCCTCCACAGGCCCCTCCCAACGCTAAGATCACCTTGGGTAGTAATACTGGTCCCATGGGGCCCAGGCTTTCCCTGTTGTTTTGTCAGCTTCAGGAGGATACAGCAGTGCTAGAGAAAGCAAGGTTTCTCGGGGATTCCTGCACCCTGCAAGAAAGAAGAACACACCCCAGAAGGGAAGAAAGCTAGGCTCTGGTGCCTCACCAGATTCTCAAGAGGGCTGGTTGACCTGAGGTTGGCATGCAAAGAAAGAAAGGTGATCACCTCCCTTTCTCTTGATACCATGTAACAGGGCTAGCTGCCTGCTTTAGTGATGGAGCTTTACATTTACCCTCCCACCAAAGCAGAGGCCCCAAGACTGAAAGCCCAGGATCCAGGGGTAGAGGCTGCCGTTCCCATCCCACACCTGGGAAGAATGCCAGAGCCCAGACAGACAAGCTACGCAGGCCCTGAGGCTGACTCAAAGAGCCCAACACCCCCTTGCTGCACCCTGGCCCTCTCTGGGCCTTTGCAAAGGTGGTGAGAGATGCCACTGGATGTAAAAAGGCAGGGAGGTCGGCTTGGGCAGTGCTGTTGTCAAAGGACCAGCCCCTCATCTGCAGAACCAACTACCACCTGTAACCAGACTTGGGCAAATGACAGAGCCTTTCATTCATTCTTTTAAATGGCCTTTGAACAGAATTATGGAAAAGCATTCTCTTTACTAAAATGACACTGTGTAAACTTTCTGGGGATCAAGGAGGGGGCACTCAATCAAAAGCCCATTAAATGAAATCATGGAAGAAAACTTGCAAAGTAGAAAATATGAACCACGTGGTGTTGTCTGAAGCCTGCCATCAAGATGAATGGGGTGCCGGCAGCAACAGCACAGGGCATTGGTCAACTCGCTCTTCTGAAGGACAAAGCAGGTCATTCCCCGATCGATGAGAGAGAAGCCAGGCCTCTGCAAGGGCCAGCGCCACGTGGCTGGGAGGTGAAATTAAAGCCGCTGGAAACAGAAGCTTATAGCTGTGGGAAAATGCATCTCTCTTTTGTTTAAGTGAAAAATGAGGAAGGAGAGAAGAAAAATCCCCACAGGCTAGGTTTGCAGTCGGGCGGCCACAGGGAGAGGCCAGGAGACGGCTCTCTGTGCATGGACATGTCTTCCTGGCTCTGCAGAGGGCATCAGCCCCGGAAATGCAGACCTTCCTCCCACTGTGCAGTCTCCAGAGCTCCCCCAGCGTGGCTTGATGCCACACTGGGTGCGGAGGTCCAGTGGCACTGCCATCTCTGAATGCTTCTCCCTTCCCCGCTCCAGCTCAGGGTCACCTCCATCCCACAGCTTCCTCTGAGTCTCCAGGTTGGATAAGGTCATGTGCTTAACCCATACCCTGTGCCTGCCCGATCTCACATGCACTCTCTTAGATGAAACCAGCTCTTCATACCCGTGCCTAACACCTGCACCAACTCCAGCACAGCCCAGACTGGCTTACAGTGTCATGGCTCAGGCATCCCCCTCACCGACTAGAACAGGGGCCCCTTCAAACACTTTCTGCAGGGCTCCAATCCCCGAGACAGAACAAAAATGAGGTAAGCTGACCCAAGTGACACTAGGACCATGGTTCCCAAACTTTGCATTGAAGCAGCCAAGGGACCCAGAATAAACTCATAGCCACATGACTGGGTATTTTCAACATTGAGGAAAATATAATACAGTGGCATCTATCAGACACCACGCACATGACAAGCTCAAGGCAGCTTTCAGCGTTAGATTGTTGTGTTCCTTCCGTGATGCCACGTCTGTGTGCATCTGGGTTTCCAGGATTGCTGTGACCAAGAGGGAGCGCATTGTATAAAGATCAGGTAGAACAGACCTGAGGGTGGCAGTGCCCCTGTGGTTCCATGGTCTGGGATGTACAGCGCCCTAGAGGCACGTTAAGTTGTTAGAACGTAACTATTGACTACATTGGGGGATGAATTTAATAAGCAGAACACTTGGGCATACCTTTTAACCTAAGGACACCCCAAAAATAAGTACAAAGTATGCTTTGAGCTGAGGAAGTTGGGGATCTTCTGCCCTAAGGTAAAGTGAGTGTAGGGAGTGGGAGTAACAGCTCCCAGACCTGCTCTGATGATGCCATCTATGCCCCCCACCTGTAAGGCTCCAGTATCTGCTGAGCTCCACCTGGGTGTCAAGCACTAGGCTTAGCCCTGGGAAGCAGAGGACTTCTCAAGGGCAAGGCCCTATTCCAGCACCTGGCCTGATGCCATGCAAGATGCTGGCCTAGGAAGAGCTCAGTCCAGACAAGCTATACTGAGACATAAAACCACAGCCATCATCCTTCCCACAGCCAAAAAGTGAAGCCAAGAATGTGAGGGCGTCCTGGATATCACTGCAGTTCCCAAACAAAGAAACAAACAAAACTGGTAGTACGCAAACCCCCAAAATGCATTACCAGATAAATCCAAAACTTGTCTCTTTAAGATCAATGAGGTAGGTGATTCCAAGCTAAAGACAAAGAAAAGAATGAGGAAAGACTTGCACAGAAAACATGCCAATATCAGTGTATCTGCCTAACTCGTATGTTACCACAGATGCAGGGACACAGGCCTCCAGGCTGAGCGCTGGCAGCTGGGCATCCTTGATGGGCAGAGGAACATGGCCCCAGT